TCCCAGCTGTTGAAAAGAAATGGCTGCAAATGATGCAAAAAGGGACTTGGGGCCAGTCCCTCGCTCTCTCCTCGCAACTCACCTCACAGGATTGTTGTTGTGGTATAAATAGGAGGAGGAGGAAGGAGTATTAGGTATGTTCGCTGCCTTGAGTTATTTATAAAAAAAGTAAAGAAGGGATAAAAAATCTAAAAAAAAAAATCTGAAGTGCTCACAACAGAGGCGCTGGTCAGAGAACAGAGCTACAGAATACCTGGGGCCCGATTTCCAATTGATTTATTGACTAGATCAGTGTTTCTCAACATGCTGGCTGGGGAGTTCTGGGCGTTGAAGCCCACCCATCTTCAAGCTGCCAAGGTTGAGAAACAATGGACTAGATTACATATTATCTATCCTGCCTTTATTTTGCACAATTCAAAGCAGCATACATAATGGTCCTGCCTGCTGTTTTCCCCACCACGCCAACCCAGGGAGGTAGGCTGGACGGTTCACTTCGTTTGGGCTCATCCCAGGCAAAAAAGTCTTGTGCCACCACTTACGGGCAACCGATACTTCTTAGGGAACAAACATTCTGAGACTGAAGTCCAGAAGAGTAGATGCATCAGGACTACAAACAGGGATGGGGGAGTGGCATCCTGCATGCTATGACATCACTGCCCAAACGATGCAGCGATGGGCTGGACGCCATTGGCACGGTAGCCAATGACACAATTCCCATCGCTCTGCTCATGGTTGCCCAGGCCTTAGTCACTTCCCACGTGGACTACTGCAACGCGCTCTACCTGGGACTTCCCTTGAAGATCATCCAGAAGCTTCACTTGGTCCAGAATGCAATGGTGTGGATAGTTATGGGTGCAGCTCGCTGTGCCCATGGAACACCACGGCTGCATGACCTACATTGGCTTCCAGGTGCTGGTGATCGCCTTCAAAGCCCTCCAGGGCAGAGGACTAGGTTACTCGTGGTACCGCTAGGTTTGTTTTTTACAGTTGATTTTTAATGGATTAATTAATTTTAATTATTTAGGGGGTATTTTTAATTGTTTATGGGTTTTTTATTTTAACTGGGAGCCCAGAGTCACCCGTGGGGGGAGATGGGCGGCATATAAATTTAATAATAAAATCAATCAATCAATCAATCACACTCTCTCTCTCTCTCATGCTCCCATAGGAAGAACGTGGTCCAGGTGCCCTCTTTTAAACTTTGTCATCTTACGGGACCTAGGAAGCGTGCCTTTTCGGTGGCTGCCCCGTGCTCTGGAATGGTCTCCCCCCACCCCCCAATACAGGACAGGCTCCAACTCTGCTCGCCTTTAGGAAAGCCATGAAGACTTGTTAGCCCTGCAAGGTAGCCCAGCCGAGAAGCAGCACCACTATGAGTGCTAAATCTCTCTTTATGGGAAGGTGACGTGAACAGAATCTTGCAAGACCGAAAGTATTCCTCCCCTCCTTTCCTTTCCTCCTTGGAAAACTAGGGAGGGTCTTTCTGAGAGGCTTCCCACGCCCTCCCTCCTTCTGCGGGCTGAGATATCTTTTGCATGCCGGCTGCCCGGCCTGCGGCTCTCCCTCCGGTCTCCCAAGGTCGTTCCCACAGGCCATTTCAAGGCCTGACTTTCTCCCCAGGCGTTTGGTCCCATCAAGGGGAGTCTCATTACAGGTTGTTCTCATTACTGATTTGGTTTGCCGTTTTATACTTTACATCCTGGGTAGCATTTAACGCAATGTGGTTTTGGGGGTCTATTGTTACACTGAGTAAATCTATTCCATCACTCCTTGGGCAATGCCCTCATGATGGTGATGCCAACCATGGTCATCCAGAATCCCTCACCCACTTCCATTCCCTTACCTTGCAAGCCTTTGGTGGCAAAGTGGACATCAATGGGGTGGCACCAGTAAGCCACATCATCCATCTGGGGGTGGTCGACCTGTGTCTGCCCTTCCCGAAGACCGGAGAGCAGTTTCCAGGCTCCACCTGAGAGAACCGGGAGGAGGAGAAATGGTTTAGGGCAGTGTTGTCCAAACTTGGCCATTTTAAGATGAGTGGACTTCAACTCCCAGAATTCCCCAGCCAGCCATG